ATGGAAAAATTTCCAGTCTAAAATTATCAGAAGAGTCATTTCATTTGTTATTTATTACCTTGAATTTAAAATTCCTACACTTAAATTATATGAGATTTTAAAATAGAAAAAAGTATTTTAGACAGAAACAAGGAAAACATCAAATTTGATTATCAAATTCAATCAAATGTGAAAATATTTTGTATTAAACTTGCACAAAGCATTGCAGCAGAAATCTGAGTTAACAAATCACTCTTTATACAATTTGATGGTTAATGTATGCAAGTTATGTACATAATATGTAAAAAAATCCTAAATCGCTAGTCATAATTTTTTTTCTCACTGCTCAGCCATTATTTATCCATTTTTACATAACTTCATCAGGATCCTATAATTTTGAAATACTCTACTGCATGCTGTTCTGTTGAAAGTGAATACCAAATTTTAATAATTTTTTTTCAAAATGCAATTGAAAAACACATAAATAGTAAATAGTAGCTACTTCTTTAAAAAAAAAAAAAAAAAAAATCTTACTTTTAGAAAAGAAAATTAATCAGGTTCATATGAAGCCAAAGCAAAGTTCTTATGTCTGGTTTGTAATTATTATTATTGACGCTATATCACACTGTTTGGTGACAGTTTTTGTCTGATTTATTGAAACCCTCTTTGCACTTTATGATGGAGTTGCATCTCTTATTTGCTTAATTCATTGCCCCTGAAAAAATTCACAAATATTCTAGTTTTTCAAGCTTTGCAGTTAGTTGAATGCCAGATATTCAGGTTTTTACTGTAGAACATTTTAGCTATGCAATCTCATCAATCATGAAAGTCTGCTCAGATACCACCAAACTTGTGCCACATTCGGGCAGAAGTTTGAAAGAACAGATCATTCTTTATTTTGATGGATAATTAACACAAGTTCCTGGTGTAACATAATATTTTATTGTGAGTGTTATCCATTTTTGAATAAAACTGCATATTGTGTTCATTTTTAAATCCTTTTCGTGATGCCATGATCCTATAATTTGAAATGTTCAACTGCATTCTATTCTGTTGACCGCAGATCCCAAATTTTAATCAGTTTTATCGAAATGCAATGGAAAACAGCTAATCAACAGTTACTTTATATATTTTTTTCAAAAATTAAACTGGTTTGTCAAGAATTAATTGGGTTTATGTAAACAAGGCAAAGATCTTATCATTATGTTGCAATGTCACACTTATCTGTTACTGGCACTAAATCACACTGTTTAATGGCTTGTCAAAAATGGTCAATGTTAAACATGCTGGTGAGAATGATATATGCAATAGACATACTCAGTGTTTGTGTGAACTTTGGTTTATTTGACTCTAGCAAAGCACTCAAAGGCTATCTTCCTAAGGAAAGCTATGCCTTTGTGGAGGATTTTCTAAGGTTATTAACTTCAGAATCTCTCTATGTTTCCATTTCTCTCTATATAAGGAGTGTTTATAACATTATTCATATGTTATTGATAAGTGAAAATAAGGATTATAAGAATATCAGCTAAACATTGTCTATTCTGCCGTAGCTATTAATGTGTATAACAGTTGCGTTACATATAATATTTTACAGTTACACACAGCAATCTCCTTTTTTAACAGGAATGAAAAGATTATACATAATACTCTTTTAAATTGTAGGGTTTTTTTTAACAGTACTACCAGATTAACGCAGTAATCTCCATTTCCGAAATCTGGCAGTAGAATACCTCTTTCAGAATTTTGTGACATTACATTTCTGTTATTGCCAGGAAAGTTTACAGGCACATCTAAATTCAGAATGCTCCTAATAATCTCAAGTTCATTCACATCTTTACCTCCTTTGCTTTCATTCTCATAACTGTTTTGTACTGTGAAATATTTCTAGTTTAGTTCCTTTAAGAATGTTTCTTCTATTCCATTCTACAATTCTTTCATTTATTTTTATAATCCTGTATGAACATGGTCTTTCTGCTTCTTTTCTTTCTGCTATAATTTTCCCACTTTCTTTTAGTTTTTTCCCCTTTCTCATTTATATACTCTTGCATGTTTAAGGGCTCATAATGGATTGAATGCACACAAAACCAATGATAGCTTGATAGAATTTATTTTCTCAAAAGAAACGCTTAACATTTCTGTAAATTTCCTTGAAAATACATGTACAGCTCTTCTGAATGTCGCAGAGTACAATCAGTAGTTATAGTTCAAACTGCTAAGAATGTTAAACACAATGGATCTAAAAGGCAAAGCGTGTATGGCGAATTCTCAGTACTCCAAACTCAGTGCTGAACTAAACTCAGAACTGATGCTGTCTCCTATCATATAGTTTTTCCCTGGCTGCTGAGAAATCTTATCTGTACCTTCCATTTCTCAAATTTACTGAAATGCATTCGTGGTTAAGTTCATAGCGTGTTGCGCAGCTGCACCACAGGTCCAAGGTTCGATCCGCAAGCTGGGCAAGGTTGACTCAGCCTTTCATCTCTTAAGTGGATCGTTAAAATGAGTACCAAGTTTGCTTGGGGACTAAACACCAAGGGTCCTGCAAAAAGCTGACCACTTGTCCAGGGCATATGCTGATGCACTCCAGGGCCTAAAAGTCAAGAAAGCAGAAAAAGGGCACTGCAGGCCATGCTTTACTAGGGCTGTAGGACCACTGAGTTTAGTTTTTTAGTTATATATGGTTAATAATATGTATAAGGCCCTTATACAGCTACAGTTATATACAAGGGTCAATTACAGTACAAATTAGTTTTACAGGGAATGGTCTCAAGCATCGCCAAAACCATTGTGAAACTTGGCATTATCTCGCCAGTATAGTGAGATAGTTATTTACCTCAATCTTAAATAGACGTGTCCCTGTAACCTTATTTTTTTGGCAGAGCTTCGCTCTTCAAGCATTTCATGTTACATTATGCAAAAGATACTACAGCTTCACAAATAATTTCTCTAAAATTGTTTGGATATAAGCACCATTTGTAACAATACACTTGATTTCCCAGTTTCAGTGGTTTTAATGTTCTAACTTTTTGGTAATGCGTTTTTGGTAACCTCTTTGGTAAATATTGCTTTTCTTTTTTGTGTTGTTTAGTTTGGAGAAAATTCTCTCCATTCACGTTCCTTCCAAATATCAATTCTGAAGGTGACTTAATTTCAGGTAAAATAGGAGGACTATGCTGTTCCAGTAACACTAAATATGGATCCTTGTTGCCAAATACAACTTTTCCTGACATTTCACTTGACATTTAAATATGTCTTTCAATCATTTCGTTTAATAATGGATAATTTGGACTTGAAATTTTAGTTCCAAAATACATTTCCTTGCAAATTCTTTAAACTTATTGCAATTATATTGCAGACCATTATCTGATTATACTAATTTTGGGATACCATTCTCTGCAAAATATGATTTCAGTTGCTTTATCACTGGCATACTTGACAGATCTTCCAAATATCCAATTTCAATATATTTGCTAAAATAGTCTGTAATTGTTCAATAACCTGTGCCTTGAAACTAAAGGAGATCTGGTTCTAGTACTTCACATGGACCATTCAGATTTGTTTATGTATCATTGGTTTCTTTAGAATTAGCTTATTGGACACTTAAACAGATTGAACAATTCAAAATCAAATCTTCAATTTTTTTTTATGTTTCTGGGCGATATAATCTTCCTCTTGCTTTGTTCTTTCATTTTTCGGTTCCTAAATAACCATTCTACTTAACATATCTTTCTGTAAACTTCTTGGCACAACAACACAGAAATTCTTAAATATTAACTCATTTGCTTCTGGTAGTTCTGTGAAATTAAAATATGGTTGTGGCATTTCGGGAATCGTACGTTTTGTATCTAAACTTCCAAGTCTAATTAATGTTCTTAAAATGTGTAGTTCTTTATGTTTTTCTGTTTCTAATTGAAACTTTTGATCTTTACTTGTAAACATTGGTATACTTTCTACAACCATTCCACCGTGGGCTTACTTGTCTCCTTTTAAAATCTCTTATCAGTAAATGATCATAATAAGGCATGAGCTATAAAAAGTTCTTTTCCTGGTTTGTGTTTTATCTCTTTTCCTGGTTTATTATTTTCACTAATATGGCTGTAATCTGTTCTTTTCCTGGTTTATTATTTTAACTAATATGGCTGTAATCTGTTCTTTTCCTGGTTTATTATTTTAACTAATATGGCTGTAATTATAAAAGCATTCATTTTAATCTTACTGGGCATTTAGTTAATGCCTTCTTGAAAATTAATTCTAATGGTATATGGTCACTTTCAAATGTAAAACGTTCACACAATATGTATTAGTGAAATTTCTCGCATGCCAATACAATGGCTAAAGTTTTCTTTCATGAACATAATTCTTCTGTGTATCTGTTAATGATTTAAATGCATATGCCATGTTAAATTATTCTGCAGTAAAACTGCTCCTAGTCCTTTTTCAAATGCATCTACAGGCATCTTTATATCATAATATACTGTAAAACTGATTTATTTACTAAAACATCTTTGTTTTGTGAAAGCTATTTAATGTTCATATGACATATGTTTAATTTCATGACATTAAGGGTTTTATAAATTTTAGTATATATTTCTTGTAAAGGAATTAAGTGTGTTTATTATGATAGCATTCACCTTTAAGTAATTTTCCAATTAACTACTTTTTTAAAAATCATCTTTTGCATTCTAAAATGTAAGGTGATGAAAGCCAAGGTTTGAAAATGTTAATGCCTAAAAGTATGTCATTCCACCTGACATTCTAGAGAGCTACCTTTTATGCAGTATTTTCAAAACATTTTCTCTATAAATGCACAGATAAAAATAGTGGGAAGTGATTTCTGTCTCACAGTAGTTTTCTGTGCTTAATTTCTTAGTTTTCTGTAGTTTTCTGTGTGATAATGGAATATTACATTCATATTTGCTCAATAACATAGTTCAGAATATTTTTGTTGTAATATTAATTTGCTTTTCCTTAAAATCATACAGCCTGCAACTAATATTTTTATGTTCTTCAAATAATTTTAGGATGGCCCTCCACCTGGTGAAGGTACAGTCATTGGAGCACTGGGTGAGGATGGTTGGATTAGAGTCCAGTGGGATACTGGATCAACAAATTCGTATCGAATGGGTAAAGAAGGGAAATATGATTTAAAACTTGCAGATCCTCTTCCTGTTCCACAAAAAGATACTCTCTCAGATTCTGAAGATGATGACAGTAACATATTTTCTTTATTAATAAATTATATGTTATATTAATTGCCAGAATTTAAAATTCAGTAATAAATTAAATTAGTCTACTGTAATTAAATTCTGTCTGTAAACATATTGTTTTATATAAACTTGTGAACAATTCAGGTGGTTCATTCATTTTATCCATGGCCTAAATCACAAATGAGTTAGAAATAAATATCTGATATTTTATTCAATTGCCTTTCCTTGAAAAATATGCTGAAGTTGTAATTTATATCTAGAGTTCATAGAATATCTTGCTTCTTCCCTTGAAATGTTGTTCTATATCTAATTGTGTTAGACTATGGAACTTTGATAATTGCATTCTGATTTGTTTTCATAGTTTCTTCAATGTGTAATAAATATAAGCCAGTTTTTTGTTAGGATTTCATCAGACAGGCATTACCAACAAGGGTGAAATGTATTATTTCAATGAATAACCTACAATTCTTGGAAGACTGTAGTCATTAAGAAAGAATTTAACCTTTAAATATTGAAAGTGGCTGTGCGATGGTAGCGTGCGTTGTTGAAAGAATAAGATGCATAACTAATGATATCATTTAATTATTTATTCTTAGCGAGAACAGAGACAGTTATTTTGGGTGTGAGCGTTCTTCTGTGTAGTAGTAGAATATATCAGTTGCCAATTATCAAAGACTAAATTTTACATTATTTCTTGTTGCCAGATCTAACAGATTCACATAATAAATGCGCAATAACAAAAATACAATGGGAAAGTGATCCATCAGCGAAATGATAAAGTAACAAGTACGGAACATCCCGCCCGGCATTGAAATATTACGTTATTTCAAATTTAAAGAAAAAGTATGAATACAAACATATAATGACACAACATACAACAAATACACTAATTAATAATTCAATTAAAACAAATAAATTATCCAACAGTAGAAAAATTGTTATCCATAATGAGTAGAATACAAATTTTTCAAATATTATAGTTGCTAATTTATTTTTAGCTGGCAGAATAACCAGATGTTTGTGATGGAAATTTAAATCTGAATGTGAAAGTCTACCACCAACTCTTATTAATCCGCTTGATGGATCTAAAAAAGGATTAAAAAATTTAAGCTTACTCGTAGGTGGAACAGAAGATCCTTTTTATAAAGCTGATATCTCCGCATAAAAATACTTTACCTGTAAATGTTTTATCAAGTAAGTTTCTGCTCTTTCATATTCTTTGCAAATGAGTTCTCCAGAATGTGTTCTAGAAAATTTACACCTTCTGCAAAATCTAAAAATTAAGGCTAAAATTCTAATTAGTTTATAAAAATTGTTGCTGACATTAAGTAAGTTATAAAAAAAAAAAAAAAAAAAAAAAAAAAAGAGTCATTATTTAAACTTAGTGTCACTTTAGAAACAGTCTTGAGTTGAACTCAAGACTGTTTCTAAAGTATAAAGTTTGTCAGTTGAACTACTGAGGGTTTGCTAAGTCCGAGGAGTAGGTAAATTTAATTTTGAAATGTCTGGTCCTTTCCACCAAAGTTCTAATGTTTTCTTATGGCTAATAATATTCCTGTGTTTAATGAATCCATTTAGACATTACCCCTGATAGTGCCATCTATCGGCAGATTTTGGGACGATTTTTTTCCCCTTCGCCAAACAAAATTCCCATTGCCTCACGATTGTTCTGGTAAAATATCAAGCCACTCTGACTATTAGTTTCAAAGTTGGAGTGTTTTGAAATCGCAACTTTAATTATAATCGCCCTGTGCGGGTAAATGCTGTTGTGGTGACCACCTTTGATAGTGTCTGCTATTTCTGAGAGTAGAAATAAACATTGGTATTTTTAATTATATTGCTATTCTTTAAGAAAACTGCTTCTTAACCTGACCGTATCTAATATGGATTAAGGCAACCACCAAGATGTTCAATACTATTAAGCTAAAATATTTTATTTACTAAACAAATTAAGGCAGCACACATATGTTTTCTGAAGTGATTAATCGAATTTCAGTTTAATTTCTGAAATGTGTTTCATCTAATGGGAGCCAATAACACAGAATGTCGCTATTTGTATCTTCACAGAGATATCAACATGAAGTCTTACAGGTTTTTTTTTTAAGAGGTGAATTTGAGTGTGATTTTTTGTGGGAAATGCACTCATATTAGGCAAATCTGATGAATTTCTTGAAGCCAAAGACATTGAAAAAACAAGCTGGTCAGCTAAATCTCTTGATTTGTATCCCACAAAGTACTTACAGAATATGTATGAAAAAGTTGATGCAAGCTAAATTCTGCTCATAAAGATCTGAATGTCCTGGAGACTATATTGGTACAGGAGTGAAACTTATTCCCTAATCTCTAATTAACTAAATTGAGAATATAAAATTGTATTGTAATGTATATTAGATGAGATCATGTTCCGTATGAATATCAAAGTGTGCAGTTGTTTCTGAGGTATTCTCTTTTTCATCAAAATTTGGTAATGCAGATTATTTCGCTTGTATCAAAAGTAACAGTTTTATGTCTCATGCAATCATTTTTCAATTTCTACTTATGTACTACAATGGTTTATATCAACCCAAATAAATTCAATCAGTTTTAATCAAACATTTTAATAGAAATCAGAGCTTGTTACAGTGATAAAGATAATTTTAGATACCAGAATATTTTAAAATGAGGAACTCATAATAAGGAACCCTTGGGTAGTATTGATTAATTTGATTCAGCAGCATGAAATAGAAAGGTGTGTGATGTGCTCATCATTTGTAACAAGTTTCACTGAAACTGTCAGAAATGTTAAGGAAAAATTTATTGTTTGTTCAGTTTCAGGTATAACCCTGAGGGGGATATTTGATAAGTATGAATTGCTAATCTTATCATGTGAGAAGGGGGCATAGGTACTGCAGAGAAAGCAAGTGTTGTTATATGACATTTATTTTTATTATTATTTTATATTTCATGTATGTGTTTTTTCTTATAAATGAACAAAACCTTTTTGAGAAAAATATTTAAAAAACAGAGTACAAACAAATAAAAGTTTTTTTCCCCCTCCAGCTCCATGCTCCTGTGATTAATAATGGAGAATTATATCTAAGTGCAATAGAATGAAATTTTGGAATCCTTCGATAGTTAATTTCTTTTAATTATAAATTATATAGTCATTAAGTGGCATAAAGTGGTCTTTAAAGGCCTCAGTAAATGCTGTATAAATTCATATGTTCAGTTAGCAAACATATGTATATTTTCTGTTATTTTTAGGGGGAAAATTCTACCCATATTTCTCTCCTCCTCACAAGTTTTCTGATTCGAAGGACTTTTCATTCCAAAGCAACTTATCCAATACTTCCTATATTACTACTTATGTAACTTATCTGTCTTTTTAGATTTGTAGCAAATAAATTTTAAAACCTTACTAGCGTTTTTCTTTAAGTATGTTGAATTATTTTAATAAATATTAATAGATACACATATACTATGCATTGAAACTAAAACCAAAGTTAAAACTTGTACAGGGTCTATAGGTACAGCGTTTTTTTTTTTTTTTTTTTGTATTATTCTTATTATTATTATTATTATTATTTTATTTATTATAAATTATCAAAAGTAAAATGTAAAGAATGAAAACCAAATATTTAGAAGTCTAGCTTAAAGAAATATTTGAATGCCTGAAAGCAGTTGGAGGAAGGATAATTATTATTTTTCATCTTTAACATTAACACAATTTTCTGTATCATAATGTTAAGTGATAAATAAATTCATATGGTTTTTGAAAATGACGGCTTGATTTTAACGTTTATCAGGATATTTCAAAAATGTATTATGAACGCTCAACTTTTCTAACTATATAATAAATAAATTTTTATATGATAATCATTGGTTTCCCTACAGATAACATTTTGGTATTTAATTTTGATCCATGTACACTTGATCATAATGTAATTCTACCATTAACGCATAATGCTTTTGTAACAATTGACTGTATCCCTTACATTCATTGAACAATTATAACAAACTTAAATTTTGGATCTGTAGCATTCATTACACTATTTGCTACACTGTTACAATCTTTATGCGGGATGAGACAGAAAGAAGTGTGGTGAACTGATATATTTGTTCTTCTCATATAAAAGAACTCTTATAATTGATTTAGAAATGCAGATAAAAAATTAAAAAGTACAAAAATTCATTATTTATAATAATATTAGTTATAAATTCTTGGCTATTACTTTGGTATTCTGATTTGTTCATCAGAGGTTTATCAAAAATAATTTGAATTGCATATTGAAATTATAAGTAGATATTAGCATGCAAAAAATCAAGCCCATGAAAAAATGGTATTGATGCATTTCCCCTCCCCAGTTTTACATTCAGCTTCTGAAATTATTATAAGCGCGAATCAAATTTTCAAAAATGCTTTTCTGTCACAGGACTGTGTGATTTTTTTCTAGTTTTTTATGTATTTCTGTACAAGGAAGATCTTTCAATATGGAATACCTAGTTGGCTTGTAAAGCTGTTTCCTCACATTAAAAAAGAAGGAAGATCTTTCAATATGGAATACCTAGTTGGCTTGTAAAGCTGTTTCCTCACATTAAAAAAGAAAACATGAGTTAAATTTTATGTGGAATTCATGTAAATGAAACGTAAAAGTTTTTGATTCCCATTGATAACATTTTCAGGAGAGTACGCAAGGTGTGAATATTGCTTGTGTTTTGCAAATGCTTGCTAAGCATTTCCCTAAATTTCTGATTTGTAATTTGATACTTAAGTTATAATCAAATTAGTTCAGCTTTGTGTCTGTTAATATACACTGCCCTCGAAAAGTTAAGGAACAACATGTTTTTTGTGTATAATTTGAGACTAAAACAGCATAGAAACCAAACATGTTCACTAAACATTTCTTTAATAGATGCAGCATAGAACTTCTAAAGTTCAACACAAACATGAACTGCAATAAAAAATTGCATTCTTGGCAGAGAAATCTGGTGTTGGAGAAACGGTATATCACAGTTTTTGAGGAAAAAATGGGATGGGAACATTACAAAAATGGGTTCTAATAAGGAATGTGTCCACTCCTAGCTGCAATACATTGGCGGCAGTGACATTTCATGCTGTCAATTAAGTTGCCGGTTAGTGAAATGGGAAGCAACAATTAGACATGGAGTAATCCTTGTTCAAGTTCATGTAATAACCTTGGAGGAGGACTTAAACCAGCAACCTGTCTTCCAAGGTAGTCCCTTTTCACAATGTGGGATTGATTGTATCTGGTGTGTTGTTCCTTCCAGATCAGCTGAATCCCTCTCCAATGTGAACCTGGACTTCTCTGTGAAGAGAACAGATGCCGGTTGTTGACTGGTCCAGGAGATGTGTTCTTTTGCTCAACATAAGCAGGCACCTCTTGTGTCCTGGGTTCAAGGGGACACAAACAACTGGTCGTCTTGTGTACAGACCTGTATTGTGCAGGTGTCTGCACACTGTAGTAGGTGAGATTCATGTTTCTGTTGCCACTAAATGATCTGTCATGAGCTGATGCATAGTAATGTTAATTCTCCTTCAGGCTGAAAAAGCTAAATAAGGGTCTCCTGCAGGTGTTGTAACTCTAGGTCTGCATGTCTTAAAGACACAACCCTTGGATTCAAACTGATTCCATAGTCTGTGGACCACACTATGAGAGACATTGAGATGGCTAACAGCATCAGCTTGTGACATACCCATTTCTATCCAACCAATGGCCTGCCACATCAACGACTTCTGAGTCTCCTGGATATTGTCAACAAAACTGCTAATAACAATTGAAGATCAACTTTCGTGAACAAAACTTGCAACTTTTGCTTTTTTCTCCAACTGCTATATAAGTATTGATTTCTATAAAATAAAAGTGGTAACTTGTTTTTGCATATATATTCTTAATCTTCATTACTGTCATGCATATAAACTGTGAATTTAAATATCAGACATTTTTGTAATGGTGAGCCTTCAAAAACATGCTGTTCCTTAACTTTTCGAGGGCAGTGTAATGTTGTTAATTAGGTAAGTCAGAAATTTGGCTACTTGTTTGAAGTAAATGTAGTGAATTATTAAGTGTAGTGTTTAAGATAGATGTAGTGTATTGCACAGTGAAATGGTATATTACATTTGGAGCTGGAAGAAAATTTTCAGCTTTTCAATTTTATCCTGATAACTACTGCTCTTATTCTAACTCATGATAAATGAGTGGAAAAATTTAATCTGAAACTTTTCTGTTACTATGTTAGTGGAATAATATACATGTGTCTTCATTAGAGCATTATCTATAAATACATAGTTATTTGCCATTGCAATGTTATGTAAATGCATAAGTGAATTTGTGGTGCACTTTGTATGCAAAATTGCATCCAAACCCATTAAAAAATAATACTTAAATAGTGTTTGATTTAAAACTGCAGTTATTTGAAGTAGTGCTACTAGTGCTTTAATTCAGGCTGTTAAGTGAAATGTTGCTAGTGTAAAATTACCATTGTTTACATATCCCCCCCCTCTCCTTGTCTTTGCTGTACATTTTATCCATAATCATTGTACATTTTGTTCGTGATTGTGGTATGAAATGTGTGTTGTTTTATGTTACTTTCTATGCTGAAATGTTTTGAATTCACTGCATTTTGCATTGCATTCCAAAGATTTTTTTCCATCATTTCTGTTTAGCCCTTTAGTTATAGTTTAAGTTAGTGTGTATTTACAGCAGGAATACATACAGACATATAAAATCAAACTCAGAAGTAATGACCAGCAGGAGTTTTGATGGCATAGAAGTGTTGATCCATAATGAATAGGAAATTGGAAGCAAAGTCAGATTAAATCTTCATTTTTTATTTCAACAAACACGTGGTGGACACAATCAAGTTGGCACATTTATTGTGCCTATTCCAAAAAGTTTACATTTTTGATAGATTTACAGTAAAAAAGAAGGAGCTGACAGACTGCTGTCAAGCTAGGCGAAGCGTTGAAAGAAAGTTTGTTATGTTCAGGGTGAAATCTTAATTCAGACTGAGTTAGTTTTGATTCTTAGTGCAGTTTGATTGGATGGTTAATATTGCTGTAAAATTACTATTGGCTGTTTTACTGTTTAGTTCCATTTACATCATCAGAATTATGTAAGAATCATATAACATGGATTAGTCTCGAAAAGACAGGGTGAAAATAGAGGTTACTATTTTTAGATTAGAGAAGGGAAATTAATTTACGCTGCTAATTTAATCTTTTACACATTCTCTATTTTTCTTACATGCACATATATATATATATATCAAAGACTGAATTAATTGAAATTCATTGAAATCGAAATAAGTTTCCTAATACTTGTGCAATAGCTGCAAAGTAATATAATAATAATTTATTTACTTTAGTAATGTTGAGTATATTATCTCCTAGTAGTATTTTTAAAATTAACTTGAATTTTAATCATGAAAATTAGAGATGGAAACTTTTAAAATGAAAATTAATAAACTAAGTAATTATTGCCATTGATCAGAAATTGGTTGACTTTTCATTAGGAACAAACCAATCCCCATTCAATTAACTCTGTTCAAAATATTAACTGCTATAACTTTAAGAACTTATATACATCACTTCCATTAGAAGAAAATCTATACTAGTCTACTAGATCTGCCTAAACTCTTTTCCTGCTATGCTCACAATTATGAACATTAATAAATAGAAAACCTACCTCAAATGCACCATTTTTCATAACTACATTAAATTTCAGAATAAACTTTTTAAGCAAATCAGAGGTATCCCATTGAGCGCACATTCGAGTACTTCCGTCTATATCTTTTTATTCATCAAAGAATTTGCCTTCCAAAAAGTTTTACAACAACAAGATTTAAATTACTAAGCACACACTTACAGGTATATATGTGATCTTATTACATTTAATAATTTTAATAAGATTGAAAACTCAGAGATTTATCCAAGTTTCCTTACTCTTAATAAAACTAATCATTCGCAAAATATCGTCAACTATCTTGATCTTCAAATAAATAACTACAAAATTTCTACTATTTGACAAAACACTAGACTTCAATTTGAATACTAACAAATTAATAAATTGGACTTCCAACATCTCCAAAAAGTAATTAACAATCTTGTCTATCTTAATCAAATACAACGAATGGTAAAAATATTTGTACAGATACAATAGATCTACAATGCGAAATTCTGCTACTTATTAAAATTCTCAAAAACAATCTAGTACCTAATCGCTTTATTAATCATTGTCTTAAAAGAGCAGGCATTAAATACTGCCTCTAAATCATTTAACTCATAGGGATATGAAAATTTGTTCCGAAATCTGAAAAGGAGGTATAAATTGGATGACTATCAGTTGGATGATTTGTAAATAATGTATTTACGGAAATAATTGTATATAATGTAAAAAATCGTCGTTTTCTGACATTGTCTTATTACTTTTGCTTTTACTAAAAAAGTTAGTCTGTTTCCATACTCTGCTAAATAGCTCGTTAGCAGTAAAAATTACTTCTTCTTTTCTTTCTTGTTATACAGTTTCCTTTCACTAGTCAGTATAATGCCAAAATTTTAACAAATGCATTTACACTCACAAAAGAGCTCCACAACCACTTCCCTCCCACATTCCAAAGATAGCTTCTCAAAGGTTACTACCTGTAATAATTCAAAGGGCCCACTGCTGCTTTCTATATCTCAGATTGCATATGAAACTCCTTCTGAGTAAGAAAAAAGATGCGAACACTTCACTGTCCTCCTACTAGAAAGTACGTAAGTTAATTATTTCATATTCTGGCCTTTTGTGTACATTATGTGCATTTAAATTTGTACATTTTCTTGTATGTTGTTGTATAAAAATCTTTTATTTTTTCAACTTCTATTTCATTAATTTTGCAAAGATTGCATTGTTTATTATGTTTATAATGATTAATTTTAATTCTATTTAATAAATGTGGCAAAGTTTAAATTCTGTTTATTATGTTCACAAAAATAGCTTTGAATTAACATGGATGAAAGTGAGGGTGTCGGGGGACACTTTATTCAAGTAAAATATGAAACAAATTTTACTACTGCTTAATCTAGAGAGAAATTTTATTACTGCTACTCGATTTGGCAGTAATATCTCAAGATTTCAAAAAAAAAAAAAAAAAAAAAAAAAAAAGTTCTCTTAACAGAACTGCTACATTCATAATGAATTCATTATAATACTTCTCTTTAATTCACCTCACTAATTGGGTTGAAAGTCAATTTACAAGTTAGGCTTAAATTGACAGTTTAGCATCATACTTCTTACATGAGTTAAAGAAGAAACACCTTCGCATTTATTAATTATTGTAAATTGAATGGGGGTTGGTTTCTTCCCCTTGAAAAGTCAACTGATTTCCAATAAATGACAATAATTACTTAGTTTATTAATTTTCATTTTAAAAGTTTCCATTTCTATTTTTCATGATTAAAATTCAAGTTCCTTTTCTAAAAATACTATCAGGAATTAATATACTCAATATTACTTTAGTAAATAAATTATATATATGTATTGTTTATTACCCATTCATTTGTTATCGTATATTTTTATTCCAAGAATTGATTAAGTTGAATGCTTACTAAGGAATTCATTAGAATTCTTTGGTCACAAAAAATGTGTCACCCTCAGATGTCTTTATTTTCTGTACTCTTTAATTTCTTATTTACAATCACTATAAAGTGGTTTTTAAAATTATTTTATTGTATCTGTCTCAAAATTATTTATTGAATATGTCTGTGTGTGAGTGCAATGATGTATCCCCTCGGCAAGAAGCACTGAATGTTTCACTTTGAGGGATCTTTCTTGGCAATATTGTATTATTGATAATTGAATGATATAAATTCAGTTAATTTTTCATGCAGCTATTTCAGATGTCTCCAAGTCCCATCAACCAGCTTCTCTTCTACATCATTCATGCCTGCTGCTGATGAAAAGTTTATCAATTTACATTGGATTATATGCAGACTGCATTCCAAAGCAAGCTATTAATGCGCTATCGGGCCTTTTAAGATCAATTTTAAGTACAGTATATGGTGAAGCTCAAAGTAAGTTATGTGTAGATTGAACTTTCAGCTTTAGGTTTTAAATTTTAATTAATTGTGTTAATGAATAATCAACATCTGTGTTAATGTAAAATTAATATTTCTTCAGCTCAATGTGAGGCACTCATGCTTTTCAAATTAGGTTTATCATCTTCGTTTTTATGTATTTATTTTTTTAATTTCCCCCATATTACTTCATATCCATAGTTTAATAGTCGTTTATTAATTGAACTGCTGATTTGAGTTTTAGTTGTATATAACTGGGTATTCATCTGACTGATTTCTCCTTCTCTACTGTCATGATTCAGTCTTTTCCTGTACTTGTGACATTTACAACTTGTTGGCTGTACTGGATTAAGGGACAGCCTGTGTGAGTAATATCAGAGATATAAATTTACAAATTAACTAGTGGTCTTATAAATCTCCATCACATTGTAGATAATGTATTTTCCAAAATGAGTGCTTAAAAGTTTCTAGTCTGTGTTGAAGTTCAAAAATCACTTGCTTTCTAAGTTTTTCAACACACAATTTGATTTAAAAAAAAACTATCTTGTGTCAGTTTTACAGCACTGAATGACTTGATATATGGAAGCAGTGTTGTTAGCAGTTTACCTACCATTTTTTTTTTTTTTTTAATTGCTTAAAGATGATTATGATACATGATAGAAGTTATGTGAAATAATATCCAAGAATAAAATTATTGCAGAAGCTGTGGGTTTAACTTTTATGTTTTCCCCCTTTAAAATTAGGATTATATTGTTTGCATGTGCAAATTGAATTTCATAAAGGAATTTTAGTAACTTTGATTTTTTTTATCAAATCTTCTATTTGCTGGTTAAGTTTTTTTATTTGGAACTGTAATTTATAATCAGTTCTGAAGTTTCTGGTACTGGAATATTTTCTTTCTATCTTTTAAAATTACTATTTAGCTTTGATTTGTAACTTTAGTTCATATCAAACTGTTTTTAGTTGTGAAATTTTATTTGGATGCTGGTATTCTTGAATCATATTACTAGTTATGACAGATAGCATTTGCAATAACTGCAATTTATAGAATTGTTTTTCAGTATCTGAATTTCTAGATCTATTGGACACTAGTAGTTTCATCACAAGTTTGAGCAGAGGAATAATGAAAAGAAATATGTTAAAGCATCTTTCTCTTGTCTGAAATGTAGCCTCAAATAATGTGAATGGATTGGATTTTATTGGAAAACCATTCGCAACAGTTTCAAAATTGTATTTAAAGTTTCCTGACATTTTAATGTGTTAAATTTTACTCTGTTTTTTATGTTTTCAGCTGTATTTAATTTCATTCACATGTTTTGGGATGTGTAAAATAAATATGTATTACATTTTAATTGTGCTGAGTAATCCATTTATATTATATATATATTTTTTCATGAATTGAAAATTTTCCACTTGAACTGCTTTGCTGCTTGTATTGTATATTTAAGTATATGATACATTAGTGCTAGTGCTTAGTTATTACTTGATTTGTTTTGTGAGACAACACACACATTATTTTAGGTATTATGTCTAAATTTTGTTGTTAGTGTAGCTGTAGTGTCCACATGTTAAAGTCAATGTTTTTGAAAAGAACAGCATAGAGTCTGACTGTTAAATATATTTATTGGTTAATTCTTCATTCCATTGATACATCAAATGTACAATTAAAATTCTGTCATTTGAATGTTTAAACAGTTCTGTGCATTATTACGAACTTAAGCCTGCATCTATATCTTTTGAGGGATTATAAACATGTTCAGTTTATAAACTTGTTCAATGGTACTTTATCTCCTGACTGTGTAAACTTCAACCTAATTGTCTTTCCCCCTCCTGAAGTAATACCAAATTCAATATACAATCAGTCACAAAAAAAAAAAAAAAAAAAAAAAAAAAAAATTGCATCCAGAAGAAATCCAGCCACAATTACAAAACTCAGCAGGAGTACTCAGCATGTAGTCTGGTAAAAGATATGCAAATGATTTAAATTTCGATACCAATAAAACGTAGGTAAGTGCTTTGCACATATGAGATGCACAGATAGGAGAGTTTAAAAGCATGATTGCTTATGCTGTAGGCCTATTCAAATGAATCTCTCGACTTGGATGGACAGTATTGTGACTAGAGATGCCTCTGAGATGTAACTAGCGGCAATATGAACTTTTTTTGCACTTTGAGAAGGGGCATATAGTAGGCCTCAGAGAAGCTGTGCAGATCTCCCAACAGTGTCTTCAGGGATATGACATACTCTCATGGCCTGCCAGGTCACTGGACCTCTCACCGATAGAGCACATTTGGGACATGCTTGGAAGGCAACTGCAGCCATCCCGGAATATTGGTGGAAATTTGCAAAGATTATGGCATGATTTCTGCAGAAGGTCATATGTGAATTACTTGATTCAGTACCACGCCATGTTTCATCTTTTACAGCTGCGAGAGGTGGCTATACTACTTACTGATTTGTAACTTCTTAACAAAACAATCTTGTGTTCTGAATTTGTAATCATTTGTTTATCTCCCTATAAACTACATATGTGTTAAGTTTCATGAAAGTTCCTATTAAGTGCATATATATTTTTTGTGACAGAGGGTATTTAATAATATTTGATGATTATTTTTGATTTTTCCATTCAAAATAATGTGAAATGTTTTTAAAATAGTTACTTTTTAAAATAGGCTTTGGTTTTCCAACAACAATAATGAAAAATGAAATTTTCAAAAAGTTCAAATATTTTGAAGTCTTCTTCGCTAATTTTTTTTAGCTTAGCTGCTTGGATGATAGACACAAGCGTATGAAATTCTATATGCACTTTTTTCTGCCATCTTACTTAGCTTTTTCTTCAGCTCATATCGACATTTCTTTAAATATGATCGCGCCACAGGATCTTTTGTGAGTGATTGTAGTGTTTTATAAGTATGAATTATTTCTCCATAATAGTCCTGGAATTTAGGCATTCTCAGTTCTTTTGGCACAATTTCTCCATTTTCTTCCATCATATATTTATCCATTTAAGACTAAATGAGTCATGCCTGTTACAGATTGTAGCTCTGGGTGGTTGCAGAATCTGCAAGTTAAATATGCTTCTAATTGTTCAATAACACATTTTGTGCATGTATTTCATGCTATTTCATGCTATTTCATGTTATTACCTGACAAATCTAATGGTTGTAAGATTTTTGTCAAACCACCAGGTATTATTGTTTCGGTCGTAGACAATTTTTGACATCTGGTTTTCACTGACTCAAAGAAATGATCACGCATGGAATCCATTATCAGTAACCCCTTTGGTTGGAAAAAAGATCCCATACGACACTGCCAAACTTTTTGTAGCCACTCATGCATGATTGTTTCGCACATCTAGCCGTTCTCGTTTGCATAAATAATTACGTCGTTAGGAAAATCTCCCTTCGGAATAGTCTTTCGTTTAAAAATGATTATTGGCTTTAGCTTGTCACCGTTTGCGGCACAAGCTAACACATATGTAAATGACGTTCTTTCATGCCCCGTCATAAACACAGATACAGTTTTTGCACCAGTTAGTTTCATCAACAGTTCTGTTTGCAGGAGAGTCGAAAGCTAACGGCATTTCATATTTCATCCATATTTATTATCTGTAACCGAAGATTTTTTTTCGATAATAGCTTTTTTACATATTTTTGAAATAGATGACCTTTTTAATCCTGCCTGTCCATTGGTAATTGTTACCCCAACTGTTGTTCTAGTATGCACAGAAATATTTTTCTTTTCATAAATCTGCTACACCTCCTTTGAAATCATTTATATTCATTCGTTTTGCTATAAATTTTGCTTGTAAGCGAATTTTTACATTTGAAATTGCCATTCCCTTTCCTCGTTGCTCTTTTATCCAGTTTGCAAAATCATCCTCTAGATTTGGCCACCTTACAGTACTTCTGTTGGCTCGTTTCTGTTGTGGCATATTTTTAAGAAGTTCTTTTTCAGTTCTCCAACATCGAATATATCTGTCGTCCACTTCAAACTCTCGAGCTGCTGCTCGATTTCCAATTTGTTCAGCACGTGAAATTACATTAAACTTAAAACCAGCAGTATAGCTTCTGTGCCGTTTAGGGACATTTTCAAAAATTTTTCGCTCCCTTCTTACTTAAAAACTATCCAACAGGTACTTGTACTCAAACTGATGGGATCTGTATCTGACAGAATGCCAAGAAAAATCCATTCATGCTGAAGGGGAAATATGTCAGAGTTCGTTATTGCGAGGCAGGTGGAGTCGTGTCCGCCTTTGAAAAAAATTGCAGAAAAGGCGGGTGGGGAGAGGATGGGTCCTGGAAGATTCATCGAATGGCTGAGGAGAGAGACTATTCAAACTGATGAGAATGTTGATTTGAAAGGGGGAAGAATGTTATTGTTCTGAGATCTCGTTTAGGGTGAATAAGGCATGTAGGTCCGTTCAAGGGAAAGGATGTAAACAAAATAACGTTCGCAAAAAGCAACTGAGTGGTCTTTTGTGTGGGAACAGCACCAGTCTATGCACAATGACAAGGCCATCCAAATTATGTACAATTACCATCATAGGAAATATTTTATTTTTAGTGCACCTAAACGCCGCATGGGTAGAAACGCCGCACCCGCTGAAAATTTAAGTTTTAAACATGTAAATGCTGCGGCGTTTCTTCCAGAAATTACGGTAATATAAAAACCAAACAGCAAATCAACATCAAATTTCTTGTGAAACTTATAAAATCAGCTACGGAAACATTTTAAATGTAAACTGAGGCTTATGGAGATGAAACTTTGTCTCCTGCACATGTGTTTGAATGGCATAAGCAGTTTTCAGAGGGAAGGGACAAAACACACTTGTCAAATCAAAATTCAATGCAATGGTAATTGTCTTCTTCGACATTAATGGAATTGTAATGAATGAGTGGGTTCCCATTGGTCAGACTGTTAATCAACACTACTACATTGAAGCACTAAAAGATTTTGTGAAAAAAAAGCTGGGGGGGAAAGGCTACATTTGTGGAATGATGGATGGCTGTTGCACCAGGACAATGCACTCGCTCACATGGCCCTATCTGTCAAGCAGTTTCTGACCAGCAAAACATTACTGTGATGGTACATCTGTCTTATATACCTAATTTGGCCCCATGTGACTTTTTTTATTTCCTAAAGTTAAATCTTGTTTAAAGCGAATCCATTTTATCAGTTGAAGAGGTTCAGGCAAAAATGTAGAGTATCTTGAAGGGCCTTCCAGAACTGTTACCAGCAATGGCAGCACCGAATGCAGAAGTGTGTGAATGCTAAAGGGGACTACTTTGAAGGTGATAATGTCACGGAGAACAGATTCTGTAAGTACAATGATTTACTGGACTAGTCTCGTTTACTTGGTGTCACACCTTGTATATATATATATATATATATATATGTAATAATAAAATTCCATAGTCAAGATTACACTTAAAATTCTAACTATATGTTCTTTTCATTTTATGGCGACGGTCTCTTATTTGAAAGTACGTGGAATTAAATCCACAGCCCCGTAGTCAAGTTGTTTTTCCCGCCTTTTCTACACGTACAGTTTTAGAATGTTCTGGAAATATTTAAAGCAAACTGGATTGGCTGACAAGACTGACGTCATTTCTTGGAAGCTCCGCCTTTCCAGAGGCTATAAAAAGACTCGCAAAGGAATATCAGGGGCTTTTTCTTAAATGTCATGATGCAGTAAACTTAATGCAAAAAGTTGTTAGTAATTCTTTTTTATTTACTCCGGATATCTGATTTTGTAACTGCTATTTCTCCTGACCAATAATAAATGGATCCTGATTTTAAAAATTATCGTCTGATAATTTAAGCTACGACTACATTTATGATTCTTCAACAATCTATTTATTCCTGAAAAAGCTGGTACATCACATATATATATATTTCTGTGTAATAGCACTCAAATTTTTCATTGAATATCTGTTATTAATTTGTATGTATATAATTTCTTAATAAAATATATATATATGTTTAGTTAAACAAGATTTTTTTTATGAAATTATACTGATTTTTTTTTTTTCAGCAAAATGCTCAACAGCAAGTTTGACTTTACCTGAATGGTTGTCTTCAGAGTTACATCATGAATGGGCCTCTTTTAGCTTCATACGAGCCATTGCTTGTTCATCTGTTATGTGCAGTTCTTTAAGTACTCAATCATGGATAAATTTATTGATGAAAATAATATCAGGCAACCAACAGTTGTCTGGATGTCAGCTGAATGTAAAGGTTGTATAAAATACTTTTTCTTATGCATTTTTACTAATTAAGCTATTTACTGAAATCATAATTTTGCAGTTAAATGCTTTGTTTTGAACTAAACTAATTTAGCTTTGTATTTTAAAAAGCGTAAGAAGCAGTAAAAGGATTCAGAAATTTAGCATATGAACGTAATTATTGGGTATTTTCTTTCAGCTGCATTTTCTACATTTAATATCAGTTATTAACCTTGAAACCATTTGTGTTCTTATGCTGTCTTCTAATCGATGGGGTAGGGAGAAATACTTAGGATATGTATTTAGGAATCATGAAAATTAAACAGATAATTTCTTCATAAAGCAGGCATGAAAGTCTTCTGCGTTTTCGCGGAATTCTGCGTTTTTGAACATTACCCGGGCTGTTTCTGAGATTGATTCAGAACCGTTGAGAAATCGCAACCAGCAAATGTGTGTGTGTGGTGGGGGGGGGGCAAATGTAGGACACACTCTCTCACTTCCTCTTTTCTTTGTAAAAAAAAAAATTACATCATGCCAGAGATCACGAAATACATTGTTTCACGTCAAGGCGAAGTAGGTGGGGCTTATGTCGAAAGGCGAAATTAGATGCGTACGAATATCGAATCAAAGAGCAAGCAACCGTCAAATGAGAGCTGACTTCAATAATTTCAGCGATTGGTGCTGGTGCCATCTGTCGGGCATACGGATAACCACTTGCATTCTCCAATACACAAAACTCTATGTAATAATTTAAGGAATGCTCACAAACTGTACAAAGAAGAGCTAGAGATAAAAAAAGGAAAAGCGAGAATAAAAAAAAAAAAAAAGCAATTAAACATTGCAGAAAATATAGAAGAAAATAAAAACGTATCAATGGATTGTATAAAAAATTAAGACTAGCTCGCAAACGGAAATTAGAAAAGTTGGCTGCAAAAGTAGCAAAAAAGAAAAAGCTTTCCCTAAAAATGTTTAATCAGGATCGAGTGAGACCAAGACAAAATAGTTATTTTTTATATTCCTGCTTTAACTATATGTTATTTTGTAACTATATTATCTCACATGACTACTTTTTCTGGTGTTATATAAAGTACTATTTATTGACCTAAAAGTGAAGATAAGTAACAAAAGCTATAGTAACAGTTTCTCTAAAACTTGTCATTGCCTGAAAATGTGCAGTAATATATAACATAAATATGTATATTAGTGTGTTGTAATGTTGTGTACAGTATTCATGTATCAGCTGTTAAATTAAGTTACATAAAGAGCATCTTAAGGTTAATTCATTACAATCTCTTGGTGATTTACTTTTTTTTTTTTTTTTTTTTACAATGGGAAGATAAAATTAATAGCAAAGTAGTAAGTACAAGTATTATTTTAGTTTAATTATATGTTTAATACTTTTATATAAAAAAGGTTGATATTTTATTGAAATGCTTTTTTTTTTAAGGTCGCGCGTGCGCATTTAGTTTTTGTGTAATTTTGTGTCCGCGCGTTGTTTGGCTTTTTTTGCCAATTTGCACTTTCATGCCTGATAAAGAGTCATAGAAGTTACTTTGATAAAATTTGACATAACAATTGCTTACTTCTTTTTGCAAAATACTACTATCATTAGGTGGAATTTTAAAATTTTGTTTGACTGTATTTCAAAATTTTTGTTGAAATATAAGTAAACAGTAATATTTTTCAATGTTTTATTATATTACTATTTTAATGAAATGTGTAAATGACTTATTTTTTATGTTCAAATTTATCTTTACATGCATAAAATCATAGATTTCTCTGAAACTGTTAACTATAATTTTATGAATTTGTGTGAAGGATACATAAACAGAAATACAAAGGAAAAATTTAAGAGCACTACATATAATGTGAAACTGTAAAAATGGTAATGATATGTTTCAAGAAGATTTGAGGGGAAAAAATGAAACTCATAAAAAAATTAAAGCCTAGGAATTTAATGTGACTTGTCCTGATAATAGAAACCTTCTCCTGGATATTTACATTTCTAGGAGGAGGATGTCTCAGTGGAACTACTTTTCAAAGTACTTATAAATTCTCTGTCAGTTAAGATGTCTGTTAAGATCAGGGGATTTCGCTGGCCTTGATATTCCCTCAAAGTTTTCACATTCAAGGAATTCATCAATGAAATTTGCTTAATGTAGACATGCATTATTATACATAAATAAAAAAAGTCAGGTGCAAATGCGCTTCTGAAAATATGTTCTTCTTATATATTGTTCTAAGACATCATCTCAATATATATGGATATTTTTAAAAGTGGTACCAGATCTGCTGTTAAAAACATCCATAGATTTTTTTCTTCCCCATGCTATTACAAAATCTGCATTGCCAAAATGGTCACATTCCATAATGTTTGAAGATTTCACATTCCTGGTTTGCTCCAGATATAAATGTGTTAAGAATCAAATGTTAAACTAATCTCAGGAAAGAAAACATGGGAGCACTAATCTTCACTTCAGCTCTGATGTTCTTTGCATCAATTAAAGCAATCCCCCTTTTGTTATGAAGATACTGAAACACACGCTTTTGGCTTTCTGGCATAAAGGCATTTTTTTATTAAGCCTTCTGTACATAGTTTGCCTTTATACAACAGTTCCAGTGACGGCTGTAAGGTCTGAATTTTAATTACTGAGCAGTAGATTTCCTTTTAAAACAGGAAGTTATTGCCTGATATCAGATCCCGTGTAGCAGAAGTTATTCATTTATGACCTTGTCCAGGACTCTTTACCACAGCTTCAAAATTGTAAAGTTGTTTTCATAGCTGAGATACTGTTTTAAAATATTCTAACATTTCACTGCATCTTGGAATCTCTTCCCTGCTCCTAAATAGCCAATGATTTGGACTTCACAGATTTTATCAAATGATACTTTAGAACCATAACAAACCATTTTAAGTCCTTACAGTCTGAAATTGAATACTGTACTGCAGAAATTCACTCGGTATTCACTTTACGTCAGATGACATAATGTTTTGATTTGCTTATCAGAAACCATTTGGTCAATTTTGATTGAGTAGTATTATTCAGGTTGCCTTTCACACATTCCCTGAAAAAATGGATTACATCGATTAAATATTTCATGGGATATCAGTATTTTTAGCAATGTAATGATATTTTTTTTACTTGAGTGTATTTTTACCATATACGTTATTTTCTGTAGTACTGAACTAAAGCACTGATTAATTCACCAGTTTTGTGAGTAATTCTTCAGTTTCTTTGTGAAAGTTAAAATGGACATTTTCTCAATTTCTTTATATGTGTCTCAGTTCACTGTGGCTATCATGTGTGCTAAATGGCAATATTTTGGGTTAATTTTTTAACACTGTGGTTTAAAAAACCCAGTTTGTTTGATTGGTGTCTGAAGTAGGTAGTTGACGAGAAATGTCTCTGAGTAGCACTATGAATTTGCTCAAATTTTAGATTCAAAAGTCACCCATGAATTAATATCATTTGTGCTACAGGTAAGAAAACATTGATCATCCCTACGTATCCTGCTGCTCATTATTACAGCATAATTTGTTCTATATTTGATACATCACCCACACTGTGGGATTGACTTATTTTATTGGAAATTGTTTCATTTTCAAGTTCAAGGTTTGAAACTGATTTTAGGATTATGAGCATATATATCAGTAGCACTAGTGGTACTAGTGGTTTTTGGCTGAATTGAATATATAGTACTAATTCACAAGTCAAACAACAGAAATCAGCATTAATTTTCAAAATTTTCACAGGACTAGTTTCGATGGTTTTACCGAACCACCATCCTCAGCTACAAAACCGCAAATGAACAAGTTTGTGTCTTGAATATATAGTGTTTAACAAATGTTTACAAGAATATTTCCTGAAAGCATCTAATGTTAAGTGTGATAACTGTAATTATGACTGCTCTCAATGATGTGACTTTGGATTGTGAGGCTGTTGTCTTTTGCTATAACATGTGTAGTTTATCAGACCTGAAGTCAAAAGAAGAGCATTAACAGGATTATGAATGACACAATGAAGTGTTCTGTGGAATTTGCAGTGATGAAGTTTCAGCAAAACAAAGGGACCAGAAACACCACAGTTGTTTTCCCATGTCTACTAATTAAATATCCATTTAATTAGTATCATTCATGGGTGGTACTTTTGAATTAACTTGTAGGGAATACTTAGTGATGACTGGCTGTACCAGTAAAATGCCAGTAACTCAAATACACCCTATACTCTCCTCCCACAGTGATTACATACTTGCATTTTGGTTTCATATTGATGTAAGTAAACAGGGAAAAGGGAAATGAAGCTTATGTATGTTTACAAGTTACAGAATGTGTGTGAGATTCATGCCTCTTTTGCTCTCTTTCAAGTTTAATGGCTATTAAAAGAACTTCACTGGCGTCCTTGGTTATCAGCTGTTAGAAAGTATTTAAATGTAAAGTTATTTGTTTCACTACACATGCTTTCATGTTTTATCTGCATCTTTCTTTACTTCTAGCATTTGCTCTCTTATCATTAATATCATGCTGCTGTAGATTTGGTGCTTAGATATGCTTAATAATGCTTGTGCTTTCCTAGGTCATATGGCAAGGATAGATCTTTTCATGCAGTGCTGAACAACAACAAAAAATCTGTCCTACTTTTTCTGTAGCAATGCAAAATACAAAACTTATTGCACTGGTTCATAGTGAAGTATTAATGAAGTTGAGAAAAAGTCTTGAATGTTTCATTGGAAAGTATGATAAAGGAATATGAGCTGACAGAGGTATTCCACTGCAAAATGCCTTAAGATTTTGTAAAGGTTTTCATAAGAAAAAGGGGACTGAAAAATGGACCTTTTAGAACAAGCAGAATGAGGTTACATAGATTTAAAAGCATCTTTATATTGAAAAGCGTTAAAATTATATGAGAAACACAGTCTCAGTCTACTGCTTGGATTAAAAAAACTTGAGATAGTCAGTTTTAATGTTCCAGAATACAAGACTCTTAACTACAGTCGGGACATAATCTCCACGATCATTGCATCATACTTCTTCATTGTGTCAGAAAAGGAAATTATCTCTGAGCTGTCCAACTAAAATGTCTGTGCTTTTACATAGATCCAGATGCACAAAGAGGTCAGTTGATTAATGTCAAGCATATGCTGACTTTCTGATTGCCTGATCTGCAAAAAATATTAATGCAAGATACTTACACTGTCCTGTAAAACCTTGTATATCACACCTGATGATGTTTTCAGTTCCAGTGCTTTGGCCATTCAAAGGCCTGTTGTGCCAAATTTACATTCACTCATTCTTGCGTGGAAGACCATATTTGTGAAAACTGCAATACTGAATTACTAGTTGCAATTTGTAAAGAGAAACAAACACACAGCATTTGCTAAATGGAAATCTGAGAAGGTAAAAATTGTTAAAAGTAACCATAAATGTTTCTTACACAGAGATGAGAAGAAAGTAGCCGAGACATAGCCATGCAAAATTTTCTCGTATGTGAATGCAGTCAAATCAGTAGGCACTTAGATGGATGTGGATGAGGGACTGGAAATTCCAAAACATGAATACCCTGTAAAACAAAAACTGCATCAGGAAAGCACATATCAAATATAATGGTTACCCTTGTTTCATAGAATTCTCTTGGCCTCCATCGAAATCTCATGATATCAAAGATATGATTGATGCATCTATGTGCTTGAGAATTAAGGAAGTTACATTAAATCGAGAACAGCAGGCTAAACTTCCAATGTATTCTTTCACCAGAAAAGATAATCTGTTACGCGACCATGTTTGTGGAGGTGTGATTTTTACCTCACTTGACCTTCTTTCCACTTTGATTCTTTTTTAACCACATGCTCCAAACGGCTGCTATCCAAATAAGTATTCAGAGTTTAGCTCCCTTTTGTTCCATTTATTTCCCTGCAAATCTTCACATTGATCAATTTGATACAGGTTATCTTATTAAACGGTTGCCTAAATGCTTTATCATAATAGGGAACCTTAATGGCCATAGTCTGCTTTGGGAAAGTAAGGACAGGAATATTCAAGATTGATAAATTAAACAAATGAGCCAAGATGATTGCTTATCTCTCCTAAATGAACAGAATACCTACTTCCTTGAGATTACAAGGACCATTCATGCCCTTGATCTTATCATCTGTTCACTATCATTTTCCAATTTGTATATCTCTTGCACCAGAAGGAATAATCTCATGTTGAGATCCTCTCATTTTGTATTTGTGGTAGGGCAAATGGCAAACTCTTCACATCTGTTGTAGAGTTCACAGAAGGCATGATTAAAGATCTGCCTATCAACATCATGGTGCAAATTGTAGTGAACATAGTGACATAGTCAAATCAATGTTATTATTTAGGTTTACATCTCTATACATGTGACATCAAAAAAAAAAAAAAAAATTACCAAAATTCTCAAAACCCTATATCAAGCCTTAGAGCCTTCAAAAAAGCCAAAGCAAAGGTTATAAAAGTTAAGATGGCAAAGCAAGATTAATGTATGGCTATCGTATGTATCATCAGTACTTGCAATATGTTTCATAATACTCTTTTACTATGCACTAATTAAAAGAGTTTAGAAAGAGAGAAGAATGCAAAATATATAAGGAACACTCATTTTCTTTTCTAAAAAAATGGTGGAGTGAATAATATAACAGCCAAAATAGCAAATACTATTGTTGAGACGTTTGGTGCCATGCCATTTCCAGTGGCAGCAAGTACCTGCAAGCATTTCTTTCTTTGAAGTTACATTTGGTGAAAATTCTCGTTGCTGCCAATACTGATCCTTATAATACCCCAACTCTACCAATACTGATCTTAATAATGCCAATTTTACTGTACTTGGATTAAGGATATCTTCATTACAGACACCCTGGTCCACATGCTGTGAGCTATGAAATGCTAAAGCATTTGTCCTGTAATTTAATGATTGCCCATCTTACCCTTTACAGTCAAGTATGGAAGGAGCAGATTTTCCCCAGTGCATAGTAGAAAGTATTATCACAACCGTAGCTGAAACAGGAGGAAATCTGAAGAATCCCTTTAACTATCCCCCCCATCACACTTACGAGGTGCATTTGCAAGTTGTGTGAAAAAAATGATAAATAATTGCTTCTTTTGGGAACTTTTTGTTCTTTTTTGATGCTATTGATTTTCCATAAGATGTTCCATAAGGCTTTGGTCAAAATGAACCATCTTTTTTTTTTTTTTTTTGTGTGTGTGTGTGTCTGTGTCTGTGTATGTGTTTCTTTGTTTAGTTTAAAAGTAAGTTTTGACCAAAAAGAACTATCTCTTACTATTTCAAGATCATTTGATATTAATGACCTCCAGATAAGTTGTTAAGGTACATATATGAGATATGTGTGCAGGCAACTCCAGATTGCGTTGAACAGGATCCAGAAAATGCGTCTTAAGAATAAGCATGCATTTTTCAGAAAGTAAAATCTCTACCTGAGCTTTATCTTTAAAAGTTTCTAATTCAGAGGCATCTAAAATAAAGTATTTAGGAGTGATGTTTAATAAAAAAATGACCTTCCTTCCACGTGTCCTATTGTTGACGAATAAGTGTTCCAAAGTGGTAAATCTTTTAAATGTCCCAGGTGAATACTTCCTGCAGCACAGAATGTTGCTCTCTGCTACACATCTATATAGTACTAGTCTGCTCTACATTTGATTATGTTTAAGAAATTTATCGCAGAGCATGGTCTTTTGTTTTGTAGAGATTTTGATCCTATTTATCATCAGGATCTGTTATACACATTTGTACAGTGTATGCGTCTATTGTTTCGAACCTTTTGAGACATGAGCAGTTGTCTCTTCATCTGTACTTTGATATAATGTCAAAACCCAACCACCTTTGTTGACTTCCTGTGCTAGATGATAGCTATGACATATTATATGCAGTGCAGTCTTTGTGTGCATCTCCTTTTGCCATGAATTTACAATTAACAACAGCTTTATTAGTCGATGAAAAACTATTGCCGTTACTCTTCTTGCAGAAGTGTGTATTTCATCTTCATTTTTATAATATAGAGCTGGTGTACAACTACTTCATTTATTCATATTTGTTGTGCAGGTGAAATGGTGAAGTCATAATTTGTTTGTTGTGGTTACTTGATGAAAAAATTATTAATCAACTGCAGCATATCTTTACAGAAAAGCCATACATAATAGAAGACATTTTCTACGCCTCATTTATTAAGTCATGACACCCACATCGCACACAGTTTTTGTAATCCCATATGGCTGTGAAGGATGGAATGCATACTTTCATTGGAAATGCATAGTATTTTGGAAATTTCTATGATTTTTATGCATGAATCTCCTTTTCAATTCTGGCTACATCATCTGCAGTAATTAAGGTTGAGAATATGCCTCCACATTATTCATAGGTCAGCTCTGTTCAACTTGGTTCAGATTGTTTGCACTACTTCAAAATTATTGGTTGAGGTATTGCATGCTCACTGTATACATGATTGTTTTTCAATGAATATCAGCAATATCTAAGGATTTTATCCTCAAAAATCCTTATGCATGCATTTCCAAATCAGAAGTAAGAATCCAACTAATTGTCCTTATGAAATACCCAGCAAGCATTCACAAAGGGATTAAGTAAATAAATCACTTCTTTTTAAAAGTAGTGCTTACTTTTTGGCCAACTATGCCATGTGTAACTTACTTTACTACATGTCATGTAACTATTGTCATCACTTTCAATAATTGCCACAGTAAGAAGAATCAGGAATTGATTACTTATGGTATGCTGAGTGTGGCTTTTCAAAAGATAAGGATCTCGTATTACATGTTATATAGAGTTATATACATTATTTTCACTTCAAACTCCATAACAGTAACATTTTTTTATTGCTGTATTAAAAAAAAAGCATCCTTTGACATACTACGTTATCCTCTCCCGCAAAAGTGCATTTCTTCATGTCTCACTAAATTTTCACACATTAACTGAAGTATTAGAATTCCATGCTTTCATGAGCATGAAAAAAAAAAAAAAAAAAAAAAAAAAAAAAAAAGAAATTACTCTCAAATGTGATTATAATTTGCATTATTTTATTTAATAACTGTGCAGTGTAATTTATGACATTACTTAACATTGGTAACATCTAACTGTGTAACTCTAGCAATTTAGCTTGACTTGTAGTTACATCTGATGGGGTTGTTATGCAACTATTCCACTTCATTATTATTTGGTACTATCCATGGCTTCACATATGTGTGAAAATCTTGATATTACTCAGAGATACAAGCTGCTGTTGTATGTGATTTGTCTTAGAATATCATCATCAATGTCATAATGAATATTATTATTACATTTAATTGAGACTATCATATGATCTTTGAAGATAAGCTTTAGAATTTTAACTTCATAATTTATATTTCTGGTCACTACTTATTACCCATGTTAATTTTTATTTAATATCTAGGAATATTTTTTTAAATATAGTGGCATTGAAACAGAAAACTTTAGTAATGAACTCAGCACTAGTGATCGAGAAAATTCAGCTTTTTTAATTCCCCCCCCTTGAAATTCATTAAGCATTTTCAAATTATATCATTGTATCATAAAGATTGAATTTTTCCCATTGTTAATTTTCAAGTTGCTGTGCAGTTTTTGTGCTTATTTTGAATGTCTTGTGTATACTATGAAAAGTGTGATTTTTAATTATTTCATTTTAAGAAATCTCAGGACCTTGTTTTATTTATAATTCTTTTTTCCTCTTTTATTTTAATAAAATATAGATATTAAAAGCTAAGAATAGGTTTATTTTGCATTTTGTTTTGAATGTTGTATACTTTTTAAATATTGCAACATAGTAAATATCATCGAATAGTTTTTTTTTTCTCAAATTAAAAATAAGTTTTCATTTTCAGATACAAACTATAAAACTACTTAAAATAATATTGTCTACGTGGTCAACTACTTGTGGCCAGGAAAGATTCATTGATATCGCCCACCAGCTGTTCAGCTCACTTGGAAATGTTCTTTTGTCCTGTTCAAAGGATCCAACTCTGCATCCAATAGGTATCAAATTCTGTTATGTACCAATCAATTTCTCTTAATTTGTGAGTAGACTCAAGCTCAAACATATTTTTGAACATGATCTGTATAAAAAAATAAAGGTGTGTTATTTATGTTTTGTGCAGGAGGCGAAGTTTTATATAAATACCAGTAATATTCAGTGAAAAAAAAAAATCTTTACATGGCAAGTTTTTGAATATGTTTAGTATTTCCTACATAAGGATTATTTCATTTTTCAACATTTGGGTATATTTCATTAAAAGCTTGTTAGTGTCTGATTTGTTTTTATATATTATTATGATTATTGTAAATGGATAGTATTCTTCTCCCCCCCTTTTTTTTTTTGATGATTTCTCATTGTTATTTTGGCTTTTATCTCTTAATTTTTCCTAGAAAGTGCTGGAAGGAACATTACTATGAACTGTTCTATGAGGAAAGTCCATATAAATTTAACTGTGTGGTTAAATTCATATGAACTGCAACTTTATCTTACCTGACTCCAACTTCACTAATTTTGGTCTATGTGTTCCTATTTTTATATTAGATTACTTATAATTGTTTAGGATGTTGTTAAGGTTAATTGATTAATGTAATGGAACTTGGAAGCTATCTGCCGTGGGGAGGGATGCTTTCATGGATGCCGTTTTAAGGAAAACTGTCTCATATCAATGTTACCCATGTGGAAAATCATGACAACAGCTAGTTGATTCATAGGAATCAAGCCCAGGTCAAGCTCCGATGTATAGTGACTTTACTGCTCTTTTTTTTTTAGGATGTTAAATAACTTTGTTAAAATTTTACTTTAACAAATTTAAAATTATAGTTTTGTGCATTTATTTTACCTTCTTTTCTTGATATTTGTATAAATTTATTACTTTAATAATTAAAAAATAAATAAATATACTAAAAACTCAGTTGGTGAGAATTTCTTTTATTATTTTGTCAAACATAACTTCACTTCCATGTAATGAGTTTCATGTTCTTGTGGAATCTCAGATGTGAGATTTTTCAAGTTAGTACCATCTTTGTAGTCTTAATTTCAAATGCTTGGCTATGTGATCAGTACCCAGACTACACTATAGATACATACAGTGTAATTCTAAACTAGAGGAGCAAACTTCTAGGATGGATAAGGTACAGCTAGATGACTTGGAATCCATAAATTATTCAAAGATTAAATTTCTTTCAAAATTGTAGAACAAAAATATTCAGTCATTCTTTCAAATAGATTAAACAGGATAATTTCAAGTTACAAATATGAAGCAGTATCAACAGAAACCAGTTTAGTTATTTAATGGTATGCAATGAAATTTAATTATAATTGGCTCAAGAAATTAGAATTTTTTACATAAGTTGCATCCATGATGCAAAAGAACTATTTTCTCTATTTAGATTTATGTAACCCATATAAAAAACAGTTCAGTACTCAAAATGTTAGTAGTATTTGAATGATTATGAATATTGATAAGATAATGTAACTTTTTTAAAAAATAATTGTTACAGGTCTAGTTTTACTCGCAAAATGATGTTTTGTAGTCTGTATGTGTAATACAGTCAAAAGTCGTTAATTCGGACACCCATAAGCCGGACCTCAAAGCAACAAACTTTCTGCGCACGCGTCGCGTTGACACATGCACGTACGACCTTTACGGCTGCGAATATGCATGTGCACCTGCTCAAAATAAGTTTACGCATGCGCGTTTAATGTATAACGGATGGTATAAGCTAAGGTAAAATTATCTAATTCAGTTAATGTTGCAGATTGCGTTGTTCCTTAATCTTCGAATTGGATCTGGCTTATTATTTTTTGCAGACTGTTAGAGCAATTTTATAAAAGTAAGCTTGAACTTTCGATTATGTCAAATAGAATTTCCGGTATATATTTACTAATATGTAAAGGATCTACAAAGCAAAAGTACGTTTCGAAGTCCATTAAACGAAAAGTGGAATTGCTGCAAAAAAATGGATAAAGGCATATCCTTTGTTTATCTAACCATTTCGAAATCTGTTTATCAATTTCACGCTGCACTGCAGCGGGGGGACACCGCGGCACGCAATGAATTGGAAGTTGATCTGTCAGCACTATCCTTATCTTCAGGGCAGATGTTTTTATTTTATTTGGCTTATAATTCCTTACTAAATGTAGTATTTTTCTTAAATTTATGAATATAGTATATCTCCTTTCAAGCTGACTGAAATATGCTTGTTATTTTAGCTTACTTTCAATAAACAAGAATATTTTCTAAAAGCGTATTAGTGGTGCTTAATGCATTGTAATAGCTATTTTATGCTAAATTTATATATTTAATAAATATATGGTAATAAGTGTTTGATTAGTTTAACAAGTACAGGCATACAATAAAGTTGAATATAACTAGTTGTAAAGTTTTATGTCTATGTTGTTTCATTCATTTGTTCAATATCACTTAATAATTTGTGATCTTATAAGCTTTTAGCAGTGCAGTAGATGAAAGTTGAGGATAAAGGACTTTTCTTTCAAAAATTTAACAAAAAAAGTGTCAGTTTAAGTAAGGGTTGTTATTTATATTAGCCCATATAAATTTCTATTAGTGGCTAATTTTTAATTTTTTTAGAATATCCACATAAAGGAAAGTGGCAAATGCGTCCCAAAGTGTCCTTGACTGCATCTCATTGTAGTACATTAGCTGAAGAATATGTTAGTCTTCTGCGTCATCTGCAGACATTACCATCTTGGAGAAAAGTTATTGCAGGTTTTATTTCTTCACAACTGGTTTCCTTGAAGGAAAATATGACTCAAGAAAATGAAATAGTAATATTTATGATTTTAATGTTTAAAATGCATTTAAAATTTATTTTGTTTCTGTGTTATTTTTGTATTTATAATTGCAAATTAAAATAATGTCTTTAGTCATTTTTATATTTTTCTTTGTTTATTTAAGTCCTTTTAATATTTTGGTTTAAAATAACATTTTTGTACATCGTAGGCATATTTGTTCTGTCTACATATAAAGTCGCATTTTGTTACATGTGGCCATGTTTAAATTCAGTGTGTATGAATACAGATAATGAACAAGCTGTACATTGCATGCATAGTTGCCATAAAAGTTTTGCTAATTTTTGTAATAAAAGTGTAGCATTTATAAAGAATAGCTTGTAACCAGTTTTTTTTTTTTTTTTTTCATTTAATTCAGCCATCTCCTTTTTGATTTATTGTACTGATTTAAAAAAAGATGCAAATGCTGTTGAATTCCATTATGAAATTATGGATATTTTTATTGGAATTTTAAATACACATAAAACCTAAAATAATATACTCAATATTCAAGATTTAACTTAATAAAACTCATCACAATTGTAGACATATTACATAAAAATTAAATCAAAAGATTACACTATAAAATCAGCATGTCTATCTGGAACATAATGTAAAAAAAATTCAAAAACTGCTGCCAGATTCAAAAGAGCGAGTTATACTCAGTAATTGAGTAATAAAAATGTTGAAAAAAAGTTGGTTTATTTTCTTGGCAAAGTGAAGCAATTTTACATTATCATGTGACATTTATGAAACAAAAATATAAAATATAAAATAAAAACGCTCTTTTCCTAACATCCTTCCACCTTCAAATGGGAAGAAGACACTAATCAATAAATCAAATGTGCAAGTCTAATCTTTCCTACACTTTAATACTTTGTCCATATCTGGTTTTCTGAATTTCTTTCAAGGCATTACAGGGGTTATCTCCCAATGTTGAGATACCTTTGTATTTGGTGGACTGTCCTTTAAAACTTGATCTAGTACTTTGTTAGCTTCAGAAATTGCAGTTTCCAGTGGGCAAAATGCTGAATAGGTCTAAGTAATTCTTCGTGGGCTTCAAGAATCTGACAACAGCTTTGGAGCTTCAACAATCTGACAACTCCTTCGGTTCCAGGAAGAAGCTTAGTAACTTGTCAAAGAGGCCATTCAATGCATTTTTGGTTGTCACTTTCAGTAATTATTACATCTCCCACCGCTACCCCATTTTTAAAGTTTGGGTTTTGAATAAGTTCGCCTAAGTATTCTAACTTGAATCTCTTCCTGAAATCTCTTTGCAGAGCTAATGTCTATTTCACCCTTTTATTAAGGCTGGCATGATCCATAGTATCACAATCTGGAATTGTAGATTCCTTGATGTATTTCATAAATAATGATGGTGTTAGAGGGCTAAGGTCGTAATTTTTTTGTAGGCGTGAAAGAGAGGTTGGGTATTCATGATGGATTCGCAGTAACATATTGTTGAGATCAGCTATTGATATGATAAACTCTGTCAGCCAAATATTTTTTTCAATAAATCTTTCATTAGTCTTATTAGCCTTTCCCACCAACTGGACTATGAGGGAGTTGGGTTGTTTCAATTGAATGCAATTAACTGCACTAAATTCTCTTATGTTATTCCAATTTAAGGATTGCAATACATTAGCGGCTCCAACAAAGTTTGATTTGTTGTCAAAATAGATCACTGGAAGCTTTCCTCTTCTTCTTGCTATGAATTTGTGTAATGCCAACAGAAGAGCATCAATCAAAACTGCCCAAACCAATTCTAGGTGGGCAGCTTTGCAGACTGCACAAGTGAAAAGACAAACCCAGGCTTTCTGATGTTCTTTAAAAGTAAAGCCCCAGCACAGTCAACACTAGTGCTTTTGAATAGTGCAGCATCCTGAACATGATTTTTGAGAAGGGGAGCTGTAATTGCATTTAGATTCTTTCCAGAACAACTTTTGCATTCAGAGACAGCAGATCTCAATTTTTTTTCCCCATTTAAAATCCAGTGGTGCTCAAATATTTAATAGAACCTGAGTACCAGCATGACCATTTTTTACATGCCTTGCTACTTTGTGGTGTGAAGAACGAATTGCCAGGTCTTCCAAAGTCATCGTCACAGACATCCTTTTTTCAGCTTTAAATTCCTCTAAATATAGGCCTTCTTGTTTTCTCAATGCTTTTGAAGTATGACAGTTTCTTAAAAATCTCAGAATCCATCCAATCAAATATAGAATCTTTACATGCTAAGAACAGCAATAGTGATACCAATCAGTTTCAATATTTTCACTTTTTGAGATTATGGCAATATCTGAGGAGGAAACACCCTTTTTCACTCTTTAAGATCTTCATTTTCATCAGCAATAAAAATCAGTAGAAGGCCATTCATTTTACAATAAATATAACCATAGAGGTCCCTCCCACCACCTACATTTCAGTAACTGATGGCTAGAACAAACTGTACTGGGTAGGTCAGCAGGATTGAAATCTCACTGTGCAAACAAAAAAGGGGGGAAATCTATATCTCCCGTTCTTCTGGGCTGATTGACGAAATTCAAATTGTCTTCATGTCTCGTAAACATGACTTGGGATATGTACTAGATTTTTATATAGCATTGTTCTAATATAGGCATTTTGACACAAAATTGGAATTTTTCTGAAATAACATACCAATTTTTTCCATATTTCCATTTTACGACTCAAATTATGCCAAACCATTAAGTTTTTTAAAAATTGCACGAGTAGTTTTTAAAAAATTAGCTCCTAAAATTTTAGCTCCTCAATGTTAATTGAGTTTGGTATATATTTACTAATCTCTCTTTTTTTTTTGTTAAGCTTATTTGATTCTTCCTTTCACATTTCGAAATTCAAGTTCTTTCCAAATAGAATTTACCCATTTTTTTTATGATTTATTTTTAAAATTTGTATTTTTAGATAATTTTTATAAATTTTTCAAAAAAAATTTGAATTATAATCTATAAAATTTTACCATCATCTTAAAGTAGATGTATTTTTATGCACACCTGCAAAAAATTACAGTTTTTTATTCAAAATTTCTGAAGATATACATAAATTTAAATATTGGCACGTTTTGAAATTTGGCATATGTGTTGAAAGCGATAAAACATCAGATGTGGTTTAAACACTTTGCTAAAATTATTTGGAAGTGGAAATGATGTGATGCTTTTACTGCTCATACACAATACAAAAAGGTAGGAACGAGGTGCTTTTTATTCTGCTCCAGCATAATGGGAGGGAAAGGAAAATTAGTTGCCATATATTAAGAAGTTCGTCAAGTGAATTATTCCTGGCCAAACTCAGAAAATTTCTCCAAGATAATTTTTTTAAATCCCCTATAAATTTCGCACCAAATTTTACAAAATTTAATATCTAGGCGTAATTTGAGTCGTAGCATCGAAATACGGAAAACAAAATTGGTATATTATTTCAGAAAAAGTCCAATTCTGTGTCAAAATACCTATATTAAAACAATGCTATATATAAATCTAATATATATTCCAAGTCGCACTTTTGAAACATGGAAAACGCAATTTTAATTTTTTCAAACGTCCCAATAGAATAGGAGATATAAAACTGTCTTTTTTTTTTTTTTTTTTTTTCCCCCGCAGTGTACCTCTGTATTTACTTGAAAGTAAAAGTTCTTATTTCTAGTGCTCCATTGTTAATGAAAGTTCCCGAGGATTCCTCTCTCTTTTTTTCCAGGTGAGCACAGTCATAAAATTTGTCCCAAAGTAAATTTCTTCATGTGGAATTTCACTCAATATTGACAAGGTGAGATGAAATAGTGGCCGTAAGCAATTGTGAAATCACAAGTGTAGTTACCCTCTTCCCACTAGAGAAAGTGTAGATCATGCTTATAATAACTGAGCTTTAAACAGATTCACCAGTTTCTATTGTGATAAAAACTACGGCAGTGTATAACATATTTGCTTTTAGCATAAAAAAAAGTACTGAGAGTGTTTCTCACGAATATTACCACCTCTGAATTATTGTGAAATAGGAACATCTAAGCGAGAAATATTCTTCAGCCACTTCAGAAATTTTTCCTTGGATATTGAATCTACTTTTTTCCAATTTAGCTTCATGCTCTAAAGTTTCTGAAAAAGTTTAGAGAATAATGGTACAGGACAAGTTGCTCCAGTTGGATAAAATCCTATGAGCTGCAGACAATGTAACTTTCTTGGTGACTGTTTTGTAGTAAAGCTCCTTTAAGCTTTTTAACTAATACATAAGCCCCGTTCACATGCAACACTCTTTCGCACAGCCACCATTTGTATTAGGAGGAAACGGGGATATGAAGCAGTTTCGCCTTCAGGACCAGTTCAGATGCACATCGTATTCCATCCCGTAAACCATAAGCCACTGCGAGCAATAATGTCACAAACGAATCGATTTGCCAAATTTCTAACATTTGCTTACATCTTTTTTGACATTATTTACTATAGAATAGAACACCATTGGAGTTTAACTCTTTAGTTAATTAAAATATATCTAAATTAATTTTAAATGCTATTTATATACGAGATCAAATGGTTAAAAGAAATCATGTATGCTGCTGAACGGTTTTAAATACAATGCTTTTTGGCTGTTTAAATTTCAAACTTTGCTTTTTGAAAAATGAATAAAATGACAAATTAATATAATTAATTCAGGTATTAAAATTGTTTTGATTGTTGTTTTACAAAAGACTTTAAATAAAAGTTGTAATTTATGTTTTTATTAACCAATTGAATACACTAGGTTTTGTTATATACATGTATTGAAATTCAGCAATAAAATTTTTAAGGAATTTGGAATGATTTAGTGACCATTTAGGTAGTTTAGATTCTTTAAATTGCGTTTTCTAAGTTTACATTTTTTGATAAATCTTTTAACTTGAAGTCCTAAAACTTATACAGATATGGTCTAAATTATTTAATATTTTTACCGATTATTTAAAATGATGTACTTTATAGAAACAAGGATGGGTTTTGCAAAATACTGGAAAGAAA